GTGAGAATGGCATGTTCAATTACATTAGTTAACCCAATATCATTGTCATGCACGCTCAGCACTTCTGCGTAACCATTCAATACACAGATCAACGACTTCCGGAGTTCCGCGGGAACGTGACTCGGGAGGGGGATTGTTRATTCCTYGGACATATTAAGGGGCATATCGATCCAATCAACCGGCCGTTCCCGCCACTCATAAACACTAGAAAAGACGGAACTACTGGTGTGAACAGAAAAGACAGTTGCTATCATCTGGGACTTAGCGGGGCTGATCATCTCCGTTTCTTTAGTTTCAGCGTAAGTTTATGACCCAACCGAAGTTGGTTTCACAGCTAGTCCTGTTAGATCCGTCATTTCTTGCATTAGATTTGGCACGTCACTTACCGGTGCTTCCGCTTCTTGTTTAATCGATGCGATAGTTGCTCCTGTCGTTAGTAATGATCAGGGTGGGAAAATGGAAACGTCCAAATACTGTTCCGTTTGCTGATAACGCGCTCGTAAGGAAAGAGCTCCCTCGTACAAGGTGCGAGGGGGTTCCAAATCATCGGCCAGATCGGAGACTTGTAATATGGGTTCACCGAGGAGGACTGAAGGACTGACATGGGTTGTTAGAGGCATGAACGCACTGTCTTCTGAGTCCACGTGGAAGTTTTGAGCGGTGTCGGGGCACACTCGAAATTCTTCAGGGATTTCATGTTCGAAAAGTTCAACCATATGCTTCCATTCCTCTTTACTGGGCATCTCTTCTCCGTATTCTTGCTCCCTGACTCCGTCCCCGAGACGCGAGGAGCATTCCGCGGGATCAATGCGTCGGATCATCCCTATTTGGGGCGAGTTAGGAACCCGCTTTATTGTTCGGGTGGAAACCCGCAAAGGAACAGTTTGAGGTTTTCCCCCAGTTTGTGTGAGCACCAATTGTTTCGAATCGAAGTGCAGACGTGCGCCCACCGCCATCGCCCAAGGTAATCTCAACAATACCGAGTAGGAACGTACATTTATTACGAGCGCGTTAACCAGGACGTGTACTCGCCCGACCCTTACAACTACGTTCTCGATAACACCCGCGATGTTCATTGCTTCCTCGTCGACAGAGACATAATTGTCTTTGCCAGATTGAGGAAGCATGGATCCAAGTCGTCCCGTCTTTTTGATAGTATCTAACGATATGGCTACTACAAAAGACCCTGTGTCGATTAGGGCGTTAAACAACTTACCCCAGACTTCGCAATCACATTCCGCACTTTTTCATAGTACCGGCCGAGCTCGAATGAAGTGATCCTTTTCTGCTAAAGAGATGGCGGCTATGCGTGCGGCTTCAGGTTTCTTAGTATCCGGCTCAGGGGATACCACTTCCTCAGTTCCTTATTTCTTTTTCAACATTCGTTGTATGCGTTGATAGGTAAAACACTTTTGATTTTTCTGGCAGTTTTGTAAAAGTTTATCGTTCGCCGTTTCAGATATGGTGAGCAGATGCCCTACGGGGATAGGAACGCGGATGTCTAACTGCTTGAGCGTTTTCAGTATATCAATGTCTCCTGTCCGAAACTGTAGTCCTGGATTGGATTCGCAATCGACCCACTCGAGATCATCTGGGACCGATCGAATGGCTCCTATCATGCCTGCGAGATGGAGATACTCGAGAGGATCGACCACTTCAGCAGCGTCGGGGGAAGAAGCTCCCGATGTTGACGCCGTTGTCATCGAAGGGGAGGGCTGCTCTGTGGCATACGCCACGAGTTCTCTTTCTCGATCCGTATCCATCAGAGCGGCCACTCGTCCTTGATTAAGGGCGACGGGGGCCGCAGCAGGGGGAGGCTGATTACGTTTCGGCTGTGGACAGTCCCGGACGAAATGCTCGGGCTGTTTGCAGTTAAAACACTCAATCCTTCCAACCGGATTAGCTAGATGAGGAAACTGAGGTGCGAATCCTGGAGCCTGGGAGCAGGTAAGAGTGGAAACGATGCAGGGGCAGGCCGAGCAGGAGCTGGGTTAGGCTTAATGAGCCTGCTCATTATCTGTTCCATTCGTTCCATATGAGCGACCTGTATTTGGATCAAGTTGCTCATCCATTCGGACTGCTTGGTAGTGGCCGTATGGATCATCTGGGCAAGGTGTAGATTGGCTACTGTCGGCGAGGGGGGTTCAGATGAAGTTCCGTTCCTAATGGCTGCGATCGACTGATTCACCGGGGGAGATGGAGGAGAAGCAGTTGGGATATCGGAAATGATTCCGTTGGGAAGGTCATGGTCGGGGCGGGGATAAAATCGTTCGACCGCCTGCCACCATGATCGCCTTTTAGCCGTT